GTGAGTTTTAAGCCACCGGGTCCGGGACGCGAACCTTAGTCAACTACATGGGAGTCCAGCGACATAGCCATTATGCTAACTGCTGGTCCCACTCCTGCTTTTTTTAATTTATAAATTTGTGTTCGCCTACCTATAAAATGGGGGTGGGATGTAGGGCTTAGATTCTGAGATCCTTGCTGATTCAGTCCCGGTTTGCCCCTGGGTTAGCCTTTTTCTTTTCAAGTGGGGTGGGGGTGGGAGACTTGGGGATGGTGGTGGCCTGACTTCACCAGCTAGTGTCATATGTCACGCGCAAGCCTGCCCTGAGGCAAGGCCAGCCAGCCTGATCTGGTCAGGCTCCTGCCAGTCCCGGGCCAGAGAGTCTGATGTAAGTCTGATTCTCTCTTCCATCAGGATCCCTATGTCCTAGATTGATAAATCTTTAAAGAAATAAAGGTCGAGTGTATCCGAAACGCCTCCCGCTCTCAGCAACCACTATCAACCCCAGACCTCCTCGGCCCGGCCAGATTTCCTGTGACCCCGCCTGAATGACGAAAGGAGATGGCCATTGCACTCCCGGGCTTTTCCGGAGACCGTGATCCTCGGTCCTGATGCAATTTTCGAAGTCTTTTACACAAAGCTTTCAAGAGTAGGGCGCTAGGACCCGGCGGACGCGCGGGTTGTTCTCTGAGCGGGTGGAGGAGGCACTATCGCGCTTCGGTCGGTCCTTACCGCGGGCGAGTGGGTCAGTGTGTCTGTCTGATTAGGCTCCTAGTTCTCAGCCCTTGTTCCTGGCACCATGACCCCCTTCCCATCCACTCCTCTCACCACCCTCCCCAAGCCTTCTCCTTGGTAGCAGTTGGGGATGGGAGCGGAGGGGGTGGAGGCAGGCTCTTCTGGAGGTACGGCTACCCCGTTAACCCATTCCCTGGGGCTGTAGAGTAACAGGAGACAGACAGATGGGGCTGCGGAGAAACCGGAGCGTGATGCCCGGAGCTGCCTAGATTTCAGACCCCACATTGCGACTTTTCAAGAGGCAAGGATGGCGTGGGGTCCTCGCGCGAGAACTAGCAGGCTAACGTCTGCTCCCCGCGCCTCCGTCCCACGGGCATCCACCCGTACACCCACTTGTGCGGTAGCTCTCAGGCTCCCAGACGCTGGGGGCAACCGTTTTCCTTCCCAGCCGCCTCCCCTTCTTCCAAGTTCCCCTGCCAGTCCCCACATTGTGGTCACGGACTATCCCCTCCCCCAGTAACGCGACCCTATAATAAACAAGTCTTTCCTTGATCCTCCCCTGCCGCGAGCGCCCTCGGGGACCTTGGCAGCTGCAGCCGCCGCGGATCCCTTCCAGAAAGGGGGAGTGGCCACGGCTCCGGGCTCTGCCAGGAGCGTTCTGGAGCTCAATGGGGGTGGGGCCAGGCCGCTGTCACCGGGCAGGAGAGAACGTTGCGAACGTGCGCCTGGAGCCCATTGGTGGAGGCGGGCCACACCCCCGGCCACACTCCCGAGCCTGGATTGGGGCACGGCAAGGAGGGGGCGTGGCCCCACCACACTAGTCCTTATAGGCCGCTCTGCGCTGGTGCTAGGGATCGCGGCAGGCCAAGGGGGAGGTGCGGGTGGGTAGAAGGGACAGGTCTGGGCAGCGTTCGGTGGTTGGCAGCAGTTCGCGCCCCCATTCAAGCGGCAGGACGCACTTGTTCCAGTAGTTCTAGCTTACCGCGCTAGCTGGTGAGTCTCCTTTCGGTGTGTGCTGATCTCTGGGTCGGGTGGTCTCAGCTGTGCGGGTCCTAACGATCGAAGTCTGGTCCAGCCCTTAGACTGACGATCGGTTCGTGCCTCTCTTGTCTTACAGCTGCTTCTGCGCTCCGCTCACTGAGCTCATCAGCAAACATCTAGGCATACGTCTTCACCATGCCTAGCCTTTGGGATCGTTTCTCTTCGTCGTCGTCCTCCTCATCGTCTTCGTCCTTGTCCAGCACTCCCAACCCAGATAGGCCACCGCGCTCAGCCTGGGGGTCGGCAGCCAGAGAGGAGGGGCTTGACCGCTGCGCGAGCCTGGAGAGCTCGGACTGCGAGTCCCTGGACAGCAGCAACAGTGGCTTCGGGCCGGAGGAAGGTGAGCGGTGGGCGGGTGCCGGGCGCGACTCCAGGGCCTGGGGAGATGAGAGAGCGGAAAGGGGTCAAAGCCACCTTGGCTTTCCACCCCATTTGGGACCCAGATTGCTCGGGGTCGAGGGGATTGGAGTGTAGGGTACGTAGGAGAGCTTGTTTCTTAGTGAATGCTCGAAATTGCACCTCCCCCTCCTTTTGAAGCTGCTCTAATACCCCCTGTGTGCTCTTCCCTTCCAGACTCGTCATACCTGGATGGAGTGTCCCTGCCCGACTTCGAGCTGCTCAGCGACCCGGAGGATGAGCACCTGTGTGCCAACCTGATGCAGCTGCTGCAGGAGAGCCTGTCCCAGGCGCGGCTGGGTTCGCGGCGCCCCGCGCGCCTGCTGATGCCGGGCCAGCTGGTGAGCCAGGTGGGCAAAGAACTACTGCGCCTGGCGTATAGCGAGCCGTGCGGCCTGCGGGGAGCGCTGCTGGACGTCTGCGTAGAGCAGGGCAAGAGCTGCCACAGTGTAGGCCAGTTGGCTCTCGACCCCAGCCTGGTGCCCACGTTCCAGCTGACCCTGGTGCTGCGCCTGGACTCCCGCCTCTGGCCCAAGATCCAGGGGCTGTTCAGCTCAGCCAACTCTCCCTTCGTCCCTGGCTTCAGCCAGTCTCTGACGCTGAGCACGGGCTTCCGAGTTATCAAAAAGAAGCTGTACAGCTCGGAGCAGCTGCTGATTGAGGAGTGTTGAACTTCAGCCGGGGCGACAATGCCCCACCGATCAGACAACTGGACTTTTTGGGTGCAGACAAGCAGGCGGAGCGGAGGGACTGATGATTGTCGGTAGTAAACTGACAGTAGCCACCTGAGTGGAGTAAGGTGGAGGTGGGGAGCATAGCGTTTCCTAGGAAGCCCACTGAGTTGTGTGCAGGTGGCTCCCATTGGGGCACACGCCCCTCAGTACTGTAGCATGAAACAAAGGCACAGGGGCCAGCGGCCTTCTGGCTGGATGTGTATGTAGCATGTACCTTATTTTTATTATTACTGACAGTTAAGACAACAGTGGTGTGACACAGGCTAGCAGCTGGGCTGCGCTGGCTCTGCAGGGGTGCGCTCCTGGCTGCCGGAGGGAGGGGGGAGGTCACCAAGTAATTTGTGTATCTCATGGTCTGAAGGGACCAAGTGTGTTTGCTGTTTGTTTTGTATCTTTTGTTTTTCTGATCAGAGCTTCACTACTGACCTGTTCTAGGCAGCTATCTTACAGACGCATGAATGTAAGAGTAGGAAGGGGTGGGTGTTGGGATCACTTGAGATCTTTGACACTTGAAGAAAAAATACACCTGAGAGCTGCATCCAACCCATCCCCCACCAGGTAGGGAGGAATTGAGCTGGAGGGGATGGGGCTGAGTGGGGTCGGGGCTGGAACCCCCCCTCCCCCAGAGGAGTGCCATCTGGGTCTTCCATCTAGAACTGTTTACATGAAGATACTCACTGTTCATGAATACACTTGATGTTCAAGTATTAAGACCTATGCAATATTTTTTACTTTTCTAATAAACATGTTTGTTAAAACAGTTGGTTGAGTCTTTTATCAGTGCCATGAACTGAAAAGGAGGGGGCTGACTCCTGATGAAAGGCACTTTTCATCAGACTCTGGGGTCTACCTGTGAGCACCTCTGTCCCTTTCCGGGACTGCATGCCAGCCTGCTAACAGATGTATGCAGGCTGTGCACGTGCCCTTTGCCAAGAACCTGGCTCCTTTCGCTCTGCTGGCTGAAGCTACCAGGGCACTGAAAAATGAGGGGTGAGTCAGACCTCCCACGGAGCTGAGCAGAGGAAGTCTCAGGAAGTGCTTGCTCACCTGGCTGCCTGGGTTAGGGCCCAGCCTGGAGGCCCCTGAGCTTGAGGGCCTTGCAGGCACACTGAAAGGACAAGGCTGAGATTAGAATAGAAAAGTTCTATTCTGTAGTCAGGAAAATCGTACAATTTACTTCTGGATATAAAAAGGGCTAAGACTATTTAGCTCAAGCCTCTCACCAGACAAGGAAACTAGTGTACAGAGGGGCCTGACCTGCCACCAGCAGGAGGTATGGCCCAAGTAGGTGGAGAATGCACACCCATGTGGACATGGAGGTGAGATTGCACGCCTGGGTAACCGGGACTCCTTGCACATCTTCAGAGCCGGCTTTCCTTACCAGAGAGATGGGGGTTGGGCCAGATGAAAACAGAGCCCTGCCCACTTGTCCCCGTCCACCATACCAGCTGCCCTTAGGAGACTTCCCCTGCTTTTTCTCTTGATCCCAGACAGTCCCTATTTGCCTGCGACTGTAAAACTGATTCTCCCACTTGAGCGTGTAATCTACCATTTGGGGGTCCTGTGAAGAAAAATTCTCCAGCCCTTAGTGGAGATTCTGACTGAGTGCATCTGGGACAGAGCCCCAGGAATCTGCACTTTCATCAGGGGTTCTGATGCAGGGTCCTGAACTTTAGGATGGCTTAGAAGACCCACATTTCTTGGTATAATAGAGGGACTTATTACCCAAAATGAGTGAACTTGGGTTAGAAGTAGATTTGAGGGTTGGCAGGTGGCGTGGTGGTTGGGGGGGTGTGCTGGACATGGCCGACTGTGGTTCAAGACCCAGACCTGGCGGCTTGCTTTTTCACTTTCTCACTCTGTCCCTTTCTGATCAAATTTTTAAAAAAGTGTATATATATATATATATATATATATATATATATATATATATATATATATATATATATATATATATATATATATATATATATATATATATATATATATATATATATATATATATATATATATATATATATATATATATATATATATATATATATATATATATATATATATATATATATATATATATATATATATATATATATATATATATATATATATATATATATATATATATATATATATATATATATATATATATATATATATATATATATATATATATATATATATATATATATATATATATATATATATATATATATATATATATATATATATATATATATATATATATATATATATATATATATATATATATATATATATATATATATATATATATATATATATATATATATATATATATATATATATATATATATATATATATATATATATATATATATATATATATATATATATATATATATATATATATATATATATATATATATATATATATATATATATATATATATATATATATATATATATATATATATATATATATATATATATATATATATATATATATATATATATATATATATATATATATATATATATATATATATATATATATATATATATAAATTTGAAAATAAATGGTGATAATGATGAAGATTCCCTGAGCAGAGTTTTAGGGAAGCCCTCAACTCCCATTTTCTTAGGACATCCTTCTGGTAGCTACCCTATGAGGGTGAATGGGACAGGAGTTTGTAATGTTTTACAGATAAGTAGAGGCCCAAGCCCGTGAATGACCATCTTCTTGGACAAGGGCTTGCCCACTCAGCATCCCGAGTTCAGGGCTGGGGGCAGGGGAGAAGCAGGCTGAGCACTTCAGTGATATGTGAGGAGCAGAAGCAACTTTTTTTTTCCAGAGACTGAGATCTGTGCCAGTACTTAGGATCACACTTCCCTGGTCCCCAAAGACGAGCCAGGAAAACAACCATCTGTCTACAGAGTAGAGTCTCCTTAGTATTTGGGAGCATGAGCTGAAGACTCCATCGGCATTAACCTTAACCTCTCTCTAAGCCAAGGAGGCAGCTGAGCACATTCAGCTCCTTTTATCAGGTGTCCAGACTAAGGCCAGAGTAAGGCTTGGGTTTTCAAGAAAGCTCAGCTGAGGTGACCTTTGAAGCCAGACTGACTTTCCTCATCCTCTCAGGGCCTGAAAATATCCCCAAGCAGAACAGAAGGGCCTCAAATAGGATTCCTATAACTTAGATTTCAAATAAAGGGAAAACACTTGTCGAGGCCCAAACCAATTCTGGGCCTTTGGGCCTCCTAAGATGTGGTAGAGAGCTTTACCCCAGCTGCCAGGCTCTGTAAGAGAAGATGGTGGCAAAGCCTGTAATCTAATCAATCTTATAAAGCCTTAATGATTTACTTAATCTTAAAAATCTAACTTGGAAAATACTTTAAAAAATTGTTCTAGGGACCAGCAGTTAGCGTAATGGCTATGTCACTGGACTCCCACGTAGTAGACTGCGGTTCGAGTGCCAGACCCAGTGGCTTAAAACTTATGCTGGGCCCATGTGCATGCGTGCCCAAGATCCCGAGAGGAGAATGGAGGAGAAGAGATTGCGGCGTGACCCCTGGGGGGGTGATTTCTCGCTTTCTGTCTCTCTGTCTCTCTGGTGAGCGCACGCGCCCTATAGCAAAAACCTCTCCAAGAAAAAAGAAAAAAATAATTGTTCTAGGGACCAGCAGGTGGCGTGGTGGAAGGTGCTGGACACTCCCACACGGCCAACCATAGTTTGAGTCCTGGACCTGGTGGCTTGCTTTCTCATTTTCCCTCTCTCTTGCTCTCTGTGTGTGTGTCTCTCTCTCTGGCCAAATTAAAATAAATGAATAAATAAATACAATTTTTAAAAATTGTTCTATTTGGCCTATAAAGTTTGTATTTATTATCTCCTTTTGTATCTCCTTATTCTATCTCCCACCTTGTCAGGGCACTGCTCTAGAAACTGCAGTAGCTCCCTATTTCCAGATTCCAGACCTTTGGTGTCAAGCTCCATACTTCCTACCCAGGCTGCCTCCTGTCGCTCCCCTTATTTTGGGCCCAATAGTATCGTCTGCCAACTTCTCTAGTCCCAGACTTTGCTCTTTCTGGTGCCCTCTACCAGAAATGTGGTCCCTCCATTTGGTCTGCAAGCCCTGCCTGTCCTTTAGGGCCCAAAGCAAGCTCCAGTCCTTTTAAGGCTCCCTTCTGCCTCCCCAGGGATCCTTATCTTTCACAATCTTGGTGTTGAAAGCTTAGTTGTTTTAGAAATCTCATTGTATGTACTTATTTTGTACCCCCAACCCTGTCTGACTCCTTAGGTTCCCCTCAGGCCTGATGGCTGGTGGTAAGCTAAGTATTGGTTATCTGAGCCCTTGATCATCCTTCTCTCTAGGCTCAGGGAACAAGCTTCCCCAAGCAGTCTCAGACTCTCAGGCTAGGGAGAGGAATGCAGGGCAGAAACCCTTAACTGTTTTTCATGATGCAAACTGCCTCATTTAGAGGAATATTAACAGCTGAGGTCCATGACCAGCAGGGGGTGTGGTGTTAGAGGCACTGGAGACTCACATGGCCAACTACGGTTCGGGTCCCAGACCTGGTGGCTTGCTTTCTTACATTCTCTCTCTCTGAGTATATTAAAATAAATGAATGAATAAATAAAATTAAATAAATAATTCTTAAAAAGAAAAAAAAAAAAAAAAAAAGGCTGAGGTCCTGGAAGGGAGATAGTGTCCTTAGTGCTAAGGCCATAGTGAAATCTGGCTTTAAATCCTGGCTCGAAAGTTCTTAGGCAATGACCTAGAGCAAACTACTTTATGTAAGCTTCTGTTACCTCATCTGGAAAGTGGGAATAACGGTGAGGAAATGATTAGATCAGGACAGAATGGGGGGCTTGCCGTGGGCTGTGGAAGGCGGAGGCTGGGCAGGACAGGAGCCTGAGTTGTTGCTCAGCTGACTATCAAGCAAGCCCTCTTTCATGAGACCACCCCTTAACTCCTTTTGTCTCTAATCTTGCTCTCCTCTAAAATCTTTTCAAAAATTGCCATTTTAACAATAGTCATGACTTTAATAAATTATTTTGAAAGCATTTTATTTATTTATTTATTTATTTAAATTTGGCCAGAGAGGGACAGAGAGAGAGAGAGTGAGAAAGCAAGCCGCCAGGTCCAGGATTCAAACCTCAGTCGGCCATGTGGAAGTCCAGCACCCTTAACCACCACACCACCTGCCAGCCCCAATAAATTCTTAAAGAATACACTATTTTGTTGAGATGGCTACACTTTGAAGTCATATATTTTTAAAAATTATTTCGTTAATTTTATTTATTATTATTATTGCTTAACTTATTATTTTTATTTAACCTTATTAATTTTATTTATTTACTTATTTTAATTCGACCAGAGAGGGACAGAGTGAGAAAGAGACGGAAAGTGAGAAAGCAAGCTGCCAGGTCTGGAACTTGAACTGTGGTTGGTCACATGGGAGTCCAGCGCCCTTAACAACCATGCCACCTGCTGGCCCCTATTATTATTGTTTTTTTATTTGACTAGAGGGAGGCAGAAAGAGAAAGTGTGAAAGTAAGCCACCAGGTCCAGGACTTGAACCATGGTCAGCCATGTCCCAGACATGGTGACTTAAAAAACATGCCAGGCATGTGTATGTGCATGTCCAAAAATCCCAAAAAGAGGAGAAATTGAGAAGGGATTGTGATATGATCACCTTTCATGGGGTACTTTCTCACTTTCCTCTCTCTCTCTTTCACACTGTCTCTCTCTCTTTTTTTTTTAAGAATTACTTATTTCTTT